AACTTTAGAGCTTTAGTAAACAAATATATTTGGATTTTCAATTTGGCACAGTACTCAGTTGACCTACACGTATTTTATTTTTAAAAATTAGCTCAATAGTTTTGGTTAAAGGAATTCTAAAGAAGTTTCCTAAATGTATTATGTGTATCGGGGACACCGATGGCATCAATTTGCACCATTCCAATTTTCAGTCAGATGTTTGAGGTTCCTACAATTCCACCAAAGCTACATGTAAATTGTTTTATGACGTCACTAAGGGTCATAATATTATATTATGGTAAAGCATATTTTGCTATTGGTGAGTCACTTGTTTTTAGTGGAATTGCAGGAACAACAGATGTCTGATCTAAAATTTGCAAAATGATGCTATCAGTGTCCCCGATACACATATAAAATTTAAGTAGGCTATATCTTGACCATAATATATTATGTACTATTTAACATTATCATATTGTAATGTAATAGACCAAGATAATTTTATCTATTTACATTTTTTCATTTTTTTTTATACTTTTGCCAGGTGCTGAATGGGAACGGGTGATGTTGTCAAAACAAAAAGTTCTAAACGTCATTTATCTTATCTTTGATCAATGCTAAAGGAATACTACCTCTTAGACGGAAGTTATTTGTAGTGTGGCTTCAGCTACAACTGATCTGAAATGCTTTTATATAGTTAGTTTCTTGCCATTGCGATAGCTCATACCTTGGAGTAATGACTGATACCGGCAATGCTTTTGCATCAAGAGTCTAGTTCCTTGGATCAATTTTGTAAAATTCTGTTTTGTATCAGCTGGATTTGTTTGCGAATGATGGGCTATATTGCTATTAATGCATTCGAGTTAATTTTTTAACAGGCTTGGTTTAAAAATCCGAATGCTGGTAAATGAGAGTTATGCCCCTTTGTAAAGATGGCTGACTTCTGAAATCAATATTAATTTTATAAGCGAAAAGAGTTAAATAACATCAGAATGCCTCTTTATGAAGGCTTAGCTTACAATACAGACAAGACTGTGGTTGTGTTAGATATCGGGAGAGCCTATACCAAGTAATTTTATTCATATTTATGTAAAAGGGTCTGAGAAAATAACCAAGCTGTAGAAGTGGAGGTGGGGGAATAGACTACTAATCTTCAAATAAATGGCTCAATCTCTAATCAATCAATAATAAGTACAGTCAAGTAACCTAATTTCGTGGAAACCTATTATTCGTGGATTTTCGGAAATGATTAATAATTTACATGAGCGACCTTGCGCGACCTCCGCGTTAGTTTGTTTTAATAAACATGGGTTTTCTCTACAATGTCAGCTAGTAGAATGAATCCAGTAGTTTCAAGCAAGGTAAAATGTATTAATGTACACTTTGACAAATACAAAATGGCGGATTTCACTTATTACCAAACGTCACCATTTTTTATCGGCCGAATTTCCTTATAATCCAGAGTGGTACGGTAATCGGAATTCCAAGTGTCGTAGAATGTAGTCCAACGAATGATCAACAATCGGATTCCGTGTCAGCAGAAAATTTCTATGGAACACAAAGTGGGTCGTATTCTTATGTTGTTTCAGTGACTTTTAGCAATAAATCACGCTACGTATCTTATTTTGTCAGTCACTTTTTTTTTTAAATCGTGGTTCTTTGAAGGAATTGTCACTAGTTATAATGAATTGATATTAAAGATAAATACTAAGAGAAATTAATTATACCACCCGGTATCCATAGAACGTGTTTTTCTCGACTTATTTATAGATCAAACATTGTAGAAAATAGGTGACGCATTCTGCCGCCGTTGCCGAGTTGGTTGCTCATGAAATATGGGTCAAAATGAAGGATTCATAAAGAAAATCGAAATAAACCAATTTTAATTATTTTGTAGAATATATGAGGAAACATCTAAGACATAAAATTTTTTTTTTCGTTTTTTTAACTTTGACGAAATTCGGTGTTGAATCCTTATATCCACGAAAATAGGTTACACCACTGTATACACGATACACTTAGGCAAATGCAAATGCTTCCTAATCCTATTCTATTACATAGAAATTTGAAAATTTTCATCCACCCGAAAGGCAAAGACATTACGTAGTACCGGTATGGATATATAAACGTCAGGCCTGTCAATGTCATACTGTCTCTGAAGACTCTTGACACAAACTAATGGTGGACTGTGAATTCATAGTTAAAAAAAAACACCAGACTATATGGAAGTCAAATGTTATCAAACTTGTGTAGAGTTACATAATTGAAAAGTTTCTATGTTTTATTGTGACAATTTTTTTTTCTTATAGATGTGGAATAGCTGCTGATGCTGCACCAAGATGTATTATACCTAGTGTTGTTGTTAATCCTACCACAGGAAAGGTCAGTATCATAGAACTGATGAAATAACAATATTTCTCCAGACTGAATTAGATTAACAATAATAATATTATTACGCACAGGGTTCAATTTGCTTCCGTTCACAGATAGCCTATGTTCTATGATTAGCCAAAAATAGACTTTATCACATCAATCAGTGATTCAAATCAAATTGTATAATTTTTTGTGTGAATGTTCTGTCAAATCTAAAATATACTCTAACTGTTGCAAGCCTCTCATGAAGTGTCTGAAATGGTTCTCTCAAGAATATTTTTGAAAAATTTAATTGATTTGGTGCAATCCTGGCACATAATTTGGTTCAAAAATTATGTAAAAACCATGTTTTTAAATTAATTAAAAGCAAAGTAGGGGTACAGTTGGGGGTGCTAATCGTTTAACTAGGGAGAGCAAATACAGCCTCTCCCTTCTATATCCCCACTGGTACCGCCATTTAAGTCCAATAGATCAATCTAATCTATGACAGAGTTTACAAATCACTGAATTCAATTAGATTTCGGGGAAGTGCTCATTTTATAAAATTTTATCAATATTTTTTATTCTATACCTGTAAAATTCTTTTTTTTTTTTCAGCAAAGCAAGCTATGGAGTTTTTCTAATACAGAAGAACTTTATGATAATTTAAAAGATTTTCTTTTTAAACTCTACTTTAGGTAAGTCTATAATCTGAAAAAAATCCAAAATTTTCATTAAATTTCATTATCTGAAATGTGACTTGAATTTCAGCTTGAATCAGTTGAGAAAATTTCTTTCTATTTTCCAATGCAGTTTCCTTTTTACTGTGAAGCAGATCACAAATATGATTTTAGAGAAACTCTTTGAATTTGGTGAGGGACAAAAACCTTGTTCTATCATCTTTGCTCTTCAAGGGTTTTGTGGTGGACCTGTTCTATTGTGATAAGAGTAAAACTTGTTCCATCTAGAAAGAAAGAAACAACTATACTTGACAAGGACAACAACTTAGGTTCACCAAGGATCTTTTCTGCTAGCTTGTCCTCGGCCATGCCTCTTGGCATTGATCTTTCCTGGATTATCTGTACCCATTTACAGTTGTGTCAGCTGGAATTATGCCTAAAGATGACTTATTCAAGGTCATCGTTGTGTGGTTAAATTGATAATGACTCTTGATAAATCCATTAGTGTTTGTTTGACATTCCTATACATTTAATGGACTCTTCAACAATTCCTATCAATATGATATGGTATTATAGTTGATTAGGAGAGTTCATTTGCAAAATCAGGGTGTTTTTTTTATTATTGATAAAATATTTCAGCTTTGGTTGTATAGTTATTATAAACTATTTACTATTATCTATTGTAGGAGATTATTAGTCAACCCTAAAGATAGACCAGTCGTTGTTGTTGAATCTCTATTATGTCCAACAGCCTTTAAAGAAACATTGGCTAAAGTTCTGTATAAACATTATGAGGTAAGGTCGTTTGTTCTGATTTTGAATTCCAACATCAGATCAATGGGATTCTCATAACACCATTTGTCTCAGAGATGGTTTTGAATTTACCTGCAATCTATGTCATTTGTTAACATTACTGTTGTTATTATTTGTGTACTGGTACTATATGTTATTGTTATTATTTTCAGGTTAGCTGTGTATTATTTACACAATGTCATTTCTTATCATTATTTGTTATTATTTGTGTACTGTTTGTTATTGTTTTTATTATTTTGTTATTATTTTGTTATTATTTTCAGGTTAGCTGTGTATTATTTACACCATGTCATTTTTTACCATTATTTGTTATAATTATGCTCCTTGTTATTGTTATTATTACTGTTTATTATTTCTAGGTGAGCTGTGTATTATTTGCACCATGTCATATGTTATCATTATTAACGATAGGAGGTAATATTGGTTTAGCTATTGATGTTGGTTATGAAGAAACTGTAGTTATACCTGTATCCTTTATTCATCTATTATTAGATCTGTGATAAAAAGGGATTGTAAAGAGGTTTACTAAAAAAAATGGGCATAGAGGACAATAATGACTTTGATTTGCTGTAAGGTTTAGTGGAATTGCAGAAACTGACATCTGACTTAAAAATTGGAATGGTGCAAATTGATCTATCAATGTCTCAGATAAACATAGTTGAAAAAAACCTCATTACAATCCCTTTAAAGTACGCTATTGTATAGACCTTTATATAGTACCTTTTTTTACCTGATTTTCTCGATAAAGTGGTGCAAGTAAGAGGGACTGCCATGAGAAAAATGTCTAGTAGTTTAGATAAGACCATCTAGAAGTCTGTTAATTTGAAACTCTTGTGATGACCTCATTGATATTTATGTTCGTTAACTAGTAAAAGGTATATGAAGGTATACCTGTTTTAAAGGCTTGGCAAGCATTACCATTAGGAGGTAGCGCTATTCACAAGTAGGTCACTTTTTGGTTCTTAATATTTCAAATGAAATCATTTATTTTGGTGGATTAATTTTTGCGATTCAGCCTATCCAAAAATTGACAGTGGCAGTGCCAGCCTTCTGAAACTGGGGGTACAAATAGGGGGCAGACTGACTCAATGGAGAGACAACTGCTGAGTCTGAATTCAAATTTTTGCTACTCTGTGATGGTGTCATAGTTGCAATCCTCTTATAGAGTGTCTTAGAGTGTTCTCTCAAGAAAATTTCGTGCATTCTGACATATATTTTGGGGAAAAAAGGTAGACACTTAGATTTGTTGAAAATAAAGTGGGGTTACAATTGAGGGTGCAAACAGCTTTTCAAGGGGGTTTTCCCCCATGCCCCCAGTGGCTCTGCCACTGAAAATTTAGGTCCTTTAGAAATATAAAACACTGTAATTCCGTGAAAAATCAATCATTGAAAAAAATGGAATTAATAAATGAACTTGGTGGTTGGTTTAGAGAGGTTAATTAACCATACATTAGCCATGTTGGGACAAGATTTTGATGGGTGATTGCGGAGGGGGTGCAGATTTATTGATGTTTATCTTCTACAGACTATATAGTTATTAGACCAGGACCTTGTGTTTAAAGGGATGCCAGTTTATGTACTGTATCTTTCCGAATATAATGCGCACCTTTTCCTTACCCAATCAAAATCTGGAAAAATCCATTTACTTGTATGTAATGCCCACCCTTGTATGTATATATGTATGATATTTAAACTTTGATTAATAGTCGTATGCAAGCTCAGTTATTAGAACATGGTACTATTAAAGGTGATGATGGTCAGAGTAAACCAGTTGCTTCTAATCCAGGTAAGTTCACATCAATTTGAGAGGATTTGAATAACTTGAAATTTAACTTTTGAGGATACTTGGCCCTTTGGCAAATCCCTTTAATATGATTTATCAGTTACTATCAGCTGTAAAACAAATATCTTGTTATAATAGAGGTAATCCATAGCATTTATCACACAAGTACTGGCAAATGAAGTACCAGATTCATAGCAGAGCTACTGCCTTCGCATTGCCTTAATGTCATCTATTTTATGAGCACAGTCACAACTTTTTTATGTCATAATGTTATAAATTTCTGTTAAATCTGACTTATATAATGTATGGTTTATTTTAGAAATACTAACAGAAGATGTTTTAGAAGACATTAAAGGTAGGTGTTAAATTTACTGTAGCAATGTTTCATTTTAGCCCTAATTGTAATAAGCCTTCTTATTTCAAAGTTTTTTTTGTCAATTATTTAACATAAATTATCTTAATGTTATCATCAGGGTTTTCCAATAATTCAATATGGTAACCATGTGACTAGACATTGTGTTATACACAGTGAAGTAAGACAAAAACGACACATCAGTCTAGGCGTCTACTTTCTATATTTGCCAATGTTTGTTAGTTTCTATAAGTTGAACATTGACTCGGTCACGAACGGCTGACATATTGCCAGATAAATTGGCAAGAGCAGATAACTCTGTCAAGATGGATTTTGATTTTGTTCAATATGGAAATCTGTGTTCATTATATGAGAGTAGCTAGCAGCATTCTTGTCTCGAAGTTGATACGAGTGCTACTTTCTCCTAAAATGTAGACAAAACAAGCCAGTCTTGAGATAGCAAATGACAGGCCCAAAAACTTGGAGAGGCCTGTAGTGAAAGAGGCTTTAATTCGTTCTGTCTTTTCAGACAGGTCTGTAGCTAAAGCTAAGGGGGTCTGATACTACCTTGAATATTTCTATAAACTCAATTCCAATGTACCATAATATTATGTTCTCACTTAAAGATCCTTTATGTCTTACAAATCTTAAGAGCGAGCCTAATAATGCTTTTTCAGCTAAATTTCCCTTATTGCAGACTGCTTTGGCTTAATCTAATTCTTCTACAGGGACATGATAATCCATTTAATTTTGTTTGATATACTGTGTCATGTATAGGTGTTTATGGTATGATTTAATGAGTTATGTTATATTATATTGCAGTACGTTGTTGTTTTGTTACTAATACTAAAAGAGCTAGTCTAATACAAGATGTCACTGTTTATGGTGGAGATGTCAATAAGGTAAATGATGAAACATGTTTTTGTCACAATTTGAGACAAATTGATTCTTAATTTGTCTGGGTTGAATCATAAAGATCCATCGACAGTTGGAAATCGAAAACAAGAAGACTAATGCTGCTTTCCTTATGAAAATTTTCTTATTGCACACTGCTTGGTTTTGGTGTTGGTCATGTTCATTAGCTCAATTAACTCTAGAAAAGTAGGAAGTAAACAAATTTCTTATTTTTGTTTATTTCAGTTACCAGCTCCCCCACCTGGAGTAGATTATCCTATTGGTGGATCTAGTTTACTTCATGTTAGTGGTAAAATTAGGTTTGTGCTTGTTTGATTAATTGTAAGACCAATACATCTGGGGGCATTTTCACATAAACCTAAGTCTCAAAATGGAAATGGTCAAGCTAAGCTTATCAGTAGTAGTGTCAAGCTTACTATTAATCAGCCTTCTTCTCATTGTACAACTATTTGCATTTGAAGTTACATTGAAGACTTAGCTTTTTCTTGAGACTTGCCTTTGTGGATAGTAGTTTTGTTCATAAATGGATTTATCATCATGGCCTTTGACTATTGAAGAAAATTGTCATTGTAAAATTTACTGCTTTGCACACTGCATAGTGTTGCATATCTTTGATAGTAGTAAAAATTCATTTTATCTAAATTTCATGCTGCAAATTCAAAATTTGGCACAATTCTCTGTGTAGATGAAATAAAAATGCTGGAAGCAATTCCAGAGGGGGAGGGGCCCCAACACACTTGAGTCCATGGGCACCCACTCATCTAGTTGAGCCACTGTTTGTTACCACATACATCATTCATATATTTGAATATTTGTAGAGAGCATTCAGCTGAAGTACTATTTGAACATGACAATGATGAAAGATCCATTATAACTATCATTCTTGATTCTCTTATAGAGGTAAGTCCATTATAACTATCATTCTTGACTCTCTTATAGAGGTTAGTCCATTATTTCTATCATTCTTGACTCTCTTATAGAGGTAAGTTCATTACAACTGTCATTTTTCTCTCTCTCATAGAGGTAAGTCCATCATATCTATCATTCTTTACTCTCTTATAGAGGTAAGTTCATTATAAATATCTTTCTTTACGCTCTTATAGAGGTAAGTTCATTATAACTATCATTCTTTACTCTCTTATAGAGGTAAGTCCATTATACCTATCATTCTTGACTCTCGTATAGAAGTAAGTCTATTATAACTATCATTCTTCATTCTCTTAAAGAAGTAAGTCCATTATAACTATCATTCTTCACTCTTATAGAGGTTAGTCTATTATGACTATCATTCTTCACTCTCTTATAGAGGTAAGTCCATTATAAATATCATTCTTCACTCTCTTATAGAGATAAGTCCATTATAAATATCATTCTTCACTCTCTTATAGAGGTAAGTCCATTATAACTATCATTCTTCACTCTCTTATAGAAGTAAGTCCATTATAACTATCATTCTTGACTCTATAATACTATCATTCTTGACTCTCTTTTAGAAGTAAGTCCATTATATCTGTCATTCTTGACTCTCTTATAGAGGTAAGTCCATTATATCTATCATTCTTGACTATCTTATAGAGGTAAGTCAATTATATCTATCATTGTTGACTCTCTTATAGAGGTAAGTCCATTTTATCTATCATTGTTGACTCGCTTATAGAGGTAAGTCCATCATAACTATCATTCTTGACTCTCTTATAGAGGTTAAGTCCATTATTGCTATCATTCTTGACTCATTTATAGAGGTAAGTCCATTATATCCATCATCATTCTTGACTATAACTATCATTCTTGACTCCTTTATAAAGGTAAGTCCATGATAACTATCATTCTTGACTCTCTTATAGAGGTAAGTCCATTATATAACTATCATTCTTGACTCTCTTATAGAGGTAAGCCCATTATAACTATCATTCTTGACTCTCTTATAGAGGTAAGTACATTATAACTATCATTCTTCACTCTTATAGAGGTAAGTGTATTATAACTTTCATTCTTCACTCTCTTATAGAGGTAAGTCCATTATATCTATCATTCTTCACTCTTATAGAGGTAAGTCCATTATAACTATCATTCTTGACTCTCTTATAGAGGTAAGTACATTATAACTATCATTCTTGACTCTCTTATAGAGGTAAGTACATTATAACCATCATTCTTGACTCTCTTATAGAGATAAGTACATTATAACTATCATTCTTCACTCTTATAGAGGTAAGTCCATTATAACTATCATTCTTCACTCTTATAGAGGTAAGTCCATTATAACTATCATTCTTCACTCTCTTAAAGAGGTAAGTCCATTATACCTATCATTCTTCACTCTCTTATTCTAGGTAAGTCCATGATAACTATCATTCTTGACTCTCTTTTAGAGGTTAGTCCATTATAAAAATCATTTTTCACTCTCTTATAGAGGTAAGTCCATGATAACTATCATTCTTGACTCTCTTTTAGAGGTTAGTCCATTATAAATATCATTTTTCACTCTCTTTTAGAGGTTAGTCCATTATAAATATCATTTTTCACTCTCTTATAGAGGTAAGTCCATTATAACTATCATTCTTCACTCTCTTATAGAGGTTAGTCAATTATAACTATCATTCTTTACTCTCTTATAGAGGTTAGTCAATTATAACTATCATTCTTCACTCTCTTATATAGGTAAGTCAATTATAACTATCATTCTTCACTTTCTTATAGAGGTAAGTCTATTATATCTATCATTCTTCACTCTCTTATAGAGATAAGTCCATTGTATCTATCATTCTTGACTCTCATTTAGAGGTAAGTCCATTTTAATATCATTTTTCACTCACTTATAGAGGTAAGTCCATTATAACTATCATTCTTCACTCTCGTATAGAAGTAAGTCCATTAAATCAATCCTTCTTGACTCTCTTATAGAGGTTAGTCCATTATAACTATCATTCTTGAGGTAAGTGTTATTATAGTCTTTGTACCAGACCATCATGTGAATCTACCCATCTGCATAATGGGTACCAAAGCTCATGACATCGGATCAAAGACATGCCATTTTCAATTTCCATTATTCTATAGCCTTATTTGATCTTTAAGAATGTGTCACATTTATTATCTATTTTAAATGTCACTTAATAAATTCAGGACTGGGTATTTTATCAGAGCATTCAGGGCCTGTAAAGCTGACTATTTATTTTGTAATGGCCCAAGAAATGATTATCATCAAAGCATTTGAATATTGAGACATAATTGAAATATTGGTTTGATTTCAGTGTCCTGTTGATACACGTAAACAGTTAGCTGAGAATGTTATTATAATGGGTGGGACAGCTATGATGCCAGGCTTTCATCATAGATTAAAAACAGAGCTGTATGAACATCTTAAACTACCCAAATATCAACAGGAATATGGTATAAAACAGTTTAGATTCCATCAACCACCAGCTAAAGAGAACTTCACAGCTTGGCTTGGAGGTAAAATCATCCTTTGACTCTATTGCCCACGAAATCTTTTATTTTGTGTATTTTAGAAGTTCTTTTTCGTGAGCTGAAGATCTTCTTCATAACATTAAAGCATGGCCGTTTCTTTGTAAAATTGATTTATGATATTAACCTACATCTCTTAAAGGGAGAGGTGTGCCATTTTGGGGGGCGGGTTGTAATTTTAGTCTTGAATATATATGTAAATAGTCTTACTCTTCAGAATCACTAGAATTGTACGAAAATAACATAATTACTTTTTAAATAGTCGTCATTTAAACATTTGAATGCATGATAATTCTGGACACAAATGGATTTGAAAAATCAAATCGGTGAACTGTGAACACTATCACTGATTAGGTCAGCTAAAAAATCCAGTTTCTAAGACTAAAGTATGTTTGGTCAAAAAATGGAGCACATGTCCCTTTAATATTGATGATAGGGAGGAAGTATCTCAATGGCAATTAATTATTACGAATTTTCCTGTGGGAAGTACAACCTCCAATGTCATTTTAGTCTCTGTTTTCTTTACTGGAAAACTTCCTATTTATCCATAACACAACAAATACAGCATGTATATATACATAATTTTTTTCAGGCTCTATGATAGGAGCTTTAGAAACATTATCCAGTCGCTCCTTATCAAGAGAAGCTTATTTACAAAGTGGTAAAGTACCGGATTGGTGCGTTGGTGTATCAAATGCTGATTTAGAAATCAAGTCTCCAACCAAGAAAACTTGAACATTTCAAGAAAATTTATTAACATTTTATTTAATTTTGTGCTTCAGAGGGAACTAGGTGCTTTAAGTATATTATCAACTCCTATTCTTGACTATTTAGATCTATTTTGCATTCTGACTATAGACAACTGCTATAGTACCAAGTTTAGTTCTCCATAGCTTTAAGCATCCATTGAAGTCTTTTCAGGTCAAGCATTGAGCAGGGACAAACTGCTTTGCCAGAAGTGAAATTTGGCATTTTTTTTATTGTCAAAATCATGTAACAAAAAACAAGATTACAGATTAAATTGGCCAAGTAATTTTAAGTAAATTGGCTGTCAACTGTCTAGAAAGCTATTCAGACTTAGTTCTAGGTTACATTGATGCTTTTCACATGGACTTTCAAAACTAGAAGTTTGAAGTATATTTTTATTGCCTTCATTATTTTAAGGAAATAGTTGGCCTTTTCTTTTTCAATTATTACTGTATTCATATTGTGCAATTACTTAAGGCTAACAGTGAGTTCTTTTTATTTCAATGTAAACATATTTGTTTCATCAAATGTTGATATGTGCTACCATTTGCATTTTGCTTTTTATACGCCCACATCTCTCTATGTGGACGTATATTGTCGGCACCCCTGTCCGTCCATCAACATTTGCTTGTAAACGCTCTAAAAACTAGATTTTTTGATGGAATCAAAGGAAATTTGGTATGTGTATACATATTCATAAAACAAAGATCAAGTTCGAATTTGAGCTATTTTCGGCCGTTAGAAGCAGAGTTATTGCCCTTGCCCAAAATATTGAATATTTACCATCCGCATGACGTTGTGGGCGTATATGGCTGTGGTCCACTTTCTTTTACCATCAATTCCCAAAGGTATGTTGTTGTCTTATTTTACATGTTCTCAACCTTGTTACAATAATAGAGCTCAATTTAAGCTCAAATGAATTTGCATCACCTGTTCTGGGTCAACCACAAAATATTGCTCACATATCCATCTGAAAATAAGGTTGTTCTTCAGAAAGTCAGATATGGGCCCTGATGGGCTCAAATTTCTAGAACTTTATGATTAAGCCAGTTTATTTTGTTATTATTTCAATATATAAGTTTTTTTGAAACATAACAATTGCTAATAGAGAAATAGAAATGAATAACTACATACTAGATTTGCATAATGCTTTGCATCCACACTAAATAGTCCTACTACATTTAAAGTTTATCTTAATATTTTACAAATAAAGAATCACAGCTTTTTAATTATAGTACAAAAAAAATTAGATTTTGAAAACACATGTACTTGTTTCCAGCTCTCCAGAAAGTAAGTTGGAAATATTTATTGAATTCTGAACACTGCCCTAGAGAATTAACCATTGACCTGCATAATGAAGAGTTGACTCCAATAATGAGGTGCTGACTCCCATAATGAAGTGATCACTCCCATAATGAAGTCTTGACTCCAGTAATGAAGTGATCACTCCCATAATGAAGTCTTGACTCCAGTAATGAAGTGATGACTCCAATAATGAAGATAGTTGACTCCAAAATTGAAAAGTGCTGTCTCTAAAATGAAGCGCTGACTTCCATAATGAAGTGCTGACTCCATAATGAAGCATTGATCACTATAAAGTCATCCAAATAAAGTAATAATATAGGGAATGAATGCTGTATGATTGTGGTTTCTTGTAAGTAGAAGGCTGGAAACAAGCAGGAGTTATTCTTTCACCATACAAAAAGATTTCATACATTTCTACTGATATTTGGATGAAAGCGGAAGATAAAAAAAATTATCTTTCTTGTGATATAGTCCAGCAAATATACTGTGTACATTCAGGTTCAAACCATAAACACAAACAATTCACTTTAGTTTAAGGTAGCTAACTAAAACTTCATATGTGTATTGGGGTCACTGACAGCATCAATTTGCACCATTTCAATCTTTAGTCAGATGTCTATGGTTCCTAAAACTAAGTGTTTTATAATGTCACTAACTCAAAGTTATAGATATTAATATCAGTTTAAGTAAAATTGCACGGACCACAGATGTCTAGCTGGAAATTGGAATGGTGTTAATTGATGCTATCGGTGTCCCTGATAACCCAAAAAAGGCCACAAAACATTTCTCATGTTCAGCTTAGTTTTTACTTCTCACATCAAAACAAGGTATAATTTTAATATTAATGTGATAATGCCAGAAATATTGTGCCTCAAGCCACAAGATTGATTTGATATTTGTAATAGCTGCTTTAGATTTGAGTAAAATATCATTTAAGTATGAATAAAGGTTTGTGGTCCAGAGACCTGAATGTGTACAAGTACACTAGAATGGCTAGAATACACATTTTATAAATGAGTATCACTTGATTAAATATATAATATATACAATTATTAATATTCCTCTAAGCCAATAATAATCATTATATACAAAAAAAAAATTATGTAACAATTATTTTACACTAATCTGATTAAAATACAGACTTTCTGTTTCCTGTTTTTATAGAGGTCAATACACTTGCTATCCATGATCTGCAAAATTCAAGATATTCTAATTTGTATTTAACAAACCTAAACATTGTTCTAAGATGCTGACAAAGCCAATGTTATAATAGATAATAGCTTATAATTTCTTAAATTTAGTAGATAATTCTATTATCTGCCTCAGAATTTCTTAAATTTGGTAGACAAAATTGAATTGACGAAAGCATTTTAATCTAAAATTTGTGGGCATAGTAAATCCTTCACAGCCTCAAAAAAAAAAGAACCAGAACATCTTAGTTCATAGAAGATGTTTCAGTTCCAGTTTTATATATGAAACTTATCCCTATGTATGTTCCTTTAAATCCCTATGCAAAATATGTTAAGAAATTTAAAGGATAAATAAGCTATATTTGTTTTACCAGATCAACTGAGAAGACAAGCATCAGACATCAAAATCACTTTAAGAAAAAATTAGGTTTCCCTTTAAAAACCTAATGGAAGAAAAAATTAAGTTATGGTTTTCGTCTAAATTTTTAGCACTTGAGTGACACAAATAATAAATACACATTATACTAATTAAATGCACTAATATTGAAAAAATAAAATAAACTACAAAATACTATTACAAAGGATATCACAAGTTTCAATACATTTGCCCTTAAGGTTACAATTTCATTTGATATGCAGGTTCATTAATTATTAACTAAATAATGCATATCCAGGGAAAAATCACACATAATCTTTGCAATGTCAAAGCTCTTACTAACTGTGTTTTATACCTTGACTGCAATAGTCACCTTTCTTGTATCTTGGAAGTTTGTAAATGCAGTAATTTGATTGTACACAAGTGATACAGACAATAAAAGCCCTTGATAGTAAGTCTGTAAATAGTAATAATGTTTACAGTCTTTCTATCCAGGGCTTTGATTAGCTGTATAAGCTAGTGTACAATCCAATCACATCGCTGCAATCCGTGATACCAAAAAAGTGTATTTTGCAGTCAAGGTATTAAACACAGTTTTTAACAGATTAACATTGTGAAAATCTTCAATCATGAGCATGAATAGTCCATTTTATTCTGGGGTAGTTTAGGAGAATGAAACAGAAATGTATGACTTTACAGTCTACATTACAGAATTTATTCTACCTGAAAAACAAAATAGACTGATCCCTGGATGTACAAAATATTTTGTGCAACCATTTACACAATTCAGTTGGATATTTTGTGACTATTGAACTCTCAGTATTGAAAATAAACGTCACAAGCTATGACAACAACATGACGTCACTAAGTAGGCCTGCGTAATCACATAATTTGTAAAGCAAAGCGGTTGGTAGTGTAACATGGGTTCAACCAATGGTTCACCAAATTTTCTGAAGAATCCCTGTATACTGGTTGCATTTAATGAAAATTAGACAAATATATTTTCAGGTGAGTAACATCTAATGCCCTGCTTTTCTTCTGATATGTATCAATTAAAAATATACCACAAACCAAACTTAACCTGGGTCAATAAATATTCATCTTAGAGTTTACAATAAAAAGTGGTCAATTTCGGTTATCTGAAGCAGTTGCCAGAATTAAAGGGATTGTACAGAGGTTTTCTGAACTTTTTATGTGTATCAGGAACACTGGTCTATGGTTCCTGCATTTGCACTAAATCTAAGTGTTGAATGGCGTCACTAATCATCAAGATCCTTAATAAGACTATGTTAAGCATATTTTGCAATTATAGGAGTCATCAATCACTTATTTTTTGTGGAATTGCAAGAACCACAGATGTCTTTCTGCTTGATGTAGTCAGTGATCCCAATAAAAATAAAAAATTTAGAAAAACCTCTTTACTAATCGATAAACATAATAGCTATATGGGCACTCTGCAATTGGGATACAGCTTTGACAAATCCAGTTGCAGAGAGGAATATCCACAGTATGCGTACCTGTCAGTAAATTTTCACAGTACCTCAAACTAAATTCAAATTTCAAGACATATGAGAAATCTACATAGTGGCACTAACATAAGCAAAACATACTCAAAACATCTGCCAGTATACCAGCCTCTGATAGCTATTTTCACATTGACTGGAGTAGAGTCTGTAAAACTAGGCTCTGTTTTATGGGGATCTTCCACACCTCTGGTTCAATATTTTCTGTCTCTACACCGCCCAACTACTTTCAAAATAGTTATCAGAGGCTGGTATACTGGCAGATGTTTCAGTCTGTTTTAGGATGACATCAAATATAATATTCCCACTCTCTTGATTGATTTACAGAAGGTTAAAAAACTTTATCAATGACATTAACGCAATAAGATTAGTCCATCCAGCTTATAAGTACAGAAACAAAGATGTCTACGATTATTTGTAAAATTATTAATTATGTAAGAAAAATACTTTGGAAAAGTAGGAATCCATGAATTTACTTCCCTGTAAATATGCTTCTGAGGACAAATCGATTCAATGACTGTGACTATGAAAATTAGTCATTTACCAAGACAGTCCTGAGAGATCACAGATATTTATGTGGTTTTATATCTGGTAATGGTTGATTACAAGACAGCACGAGGAAGAAATAGGAAATCTTGAACATTCACATGAAAAACATTGTAAAATTAATCAAATTGCACATTTCAGAGTGTAACACCCTAGAACTTAAAAATTATTAGTCCTGTGTCTGGGCTTTCGTAACTTTGTTATTAGTACAACCTTTTCTCCCTAAAACCACATAATTCTTCCATTAAGAAACACAGTCTGGCTTTGAATTTTAACGTTTCATGTAAACACTTAAAGCGGGTGCCAAAACTCTATCATATAAACAGCCTGTAGAAAAAGAAATATATCTAGTTCGGTTCTGCTGAATCTTGGATTACTGTAGTACTATTACTTTTATCATCTGAAAGACATAATAAATATAAATTATTGTAAAGTTAAGATATTTGTTCTAAATTAGACATGATTCAAATTATAAACGTGGGCAGATAACTAAATTTCTAGTGATAATGAAATATATTATATAGCTTATTATAGTTTAACTATATAAGGGTGTGAACGTTCTAGGGTGAGGTGGACACATCAGGCGTGTGATTAACGCCATGGACGATAACCAACATTTCCACAAATGTTATAGAACACTGACCAGAAAGTCATGGTGTGACAGCCCCATAAAGAAAACAGACTGTGTTTATGTTTTGAAATGCACCAAACAATTGACCATTGAATTCATTTTGAGAACTTTTGGGAAGCATCTTCTTATCCGAAAAAGAAATGAATCTGCAACCCATTTCCATTTCCGGAAAATGTCCGGAAGTCTTACATCTCTGACAAAAATAATAGCTTAAATCGTAATTTCCTTGAACTTTTGTTAAAGGATGGAAAATTGAAAATTATATTTTACCTTCTAATAACTACAATATATGGCAGTGTTTTCAGATGAAGCAAAGAAAAACAGATGACAAGCAAATTTTTCATCCATTGTAAGTAAACTAAATATTTATTAGTTAATTAGTATGGTATTATAAGTAAAATTATGTTACTATGATCGAAATAATAGAGAGCAACTCACTAACTCAGTCAAAATTGTATAATAAAAGTGAAAACCAAATAATGTTAACAGAAAAAGAAACTGAAACCAGAAAGGATGTCTGAAAAAAATTCATTGTGATCCAAAACTCATAAACAATCATCAGCACCACTTACCAAGTAACATCAACTAACATTATTTAAAGAGATTGTAAAGAGGTTTTCTAAATTTTTTATGTGTATTGTGGACACTGATTTTCAGTCAGACATCAGTGGTTCCTGCAATTGATCCAAAAACTAATTGTTTGAAATTTGCCTTGTCACATAAGGACCTTTGTTGAAAATTGGAAAGGTGCAAAGTGATGCTTTCAGTTTCCCTGATACAAAAATTCAGAAAACCTGTTTACAGTCCCTTTCAGTAACATTAATGTTGTACTTTCATAGCACATTTCAGGTGGAGTGTGAGCCAACAACTGTGACTGAACCCATAACTGTGAATCCCAATGTACAAAACTTAAAGGTTTTTATTACCAAACTTTTTGAAGTGAATTTTGACTTTTTTTTAGTAGAGGGAGTAATCCTTGTTAAATAAATTTTCAAAAGATCAGATGTCAGAATATTTTTCTTATTAGCTTCATTTTAAATTCTTTAATATATAAGTATGATTTGAAGTTAAAGGGATTGTAAAGAAGTTTTCTAAATTTTTATGTGTATCGGGGACAATGATAGCATAAATTTGTGCCATTCCAATTTTCAATCAGACGTCTGTGGTTCTAGCCATTCTACTAAAACTAAGTGCTATGACATCAGCAGGGGGTGACGTCATAAAACGCATTAGTTTTAATGGAATTGCAGGAACCACAGACGTCTGATTGAGAACACAAAAAATTTAGAAAATCTCTTTACAATTCCTTTAAACATTTCAAAATACTCCTGTGAAGTGCACACTGTTACTTTAAGAAGAAAGATTTGTAACACTCAAAGAGTTTAAAGGGTTAGACGAACCACCACCAAACCAATCTGTTTCCTACTACCAGTACTTACTATGAGAGTGTATAACAGGTAATACTCTAGTATCTATATCAGATTGAAATTGTCTGATCATTGAATCTAATTCCTCTTCAAAATTATCTTTATTTTCACTAGCTGCTGTGTAATAATAATAAATTTTGTAATATTTCTATTAGCCTAATTCAGAATTTATGTAATTTTAACTATCTCTATCATATTACCCAATATCTTTATGTTTTCTTAATGTACATTAAACTATCAAAGGCATCATTTTATGTTTTCTTAATGTACGATATCTATCAAAGGTATTGAAACCTACCCAAAACATGTTTGAATGAATTTTTTAAACTTGGTTATTATCTTGATCCTATTGCGACATGTTTGTCAATATTTTCTTTAAAGGGACAGATGCATCATTTTTTTTTTTTTTACCAATCGTACCATAGTCTCAGAAACAGGAATTTTTTTTATATCTAAGCCAATCAGCAATAGTGTTCACAGTTCACCGTTGAAATTTTAGCCTTCAAATCCACGTGTGTCCAGAATTATTCTCGTTTGGATGTTAACTCATCAATTTAAGATACTCTGTGATGTATAGTCATGAATAGTGAGTAAAATTCCTAGTTTGAAGTATTTTTAAAGGAATGGTGCAATTTTCTTAAATTTCTAGTACTTCTGAAGACTAATTACATATATATTCAAGACTCAAATCAACAACCAAAAATGCGCAACTGTCCCTTTAAGTCAACTTTTGGGTGACTTTTATATCAGGGTCTATTTACTATTATCAGATACTATTTACTATTCATATACCTTCCATAAGCTTATTTGAAAGGCAAGGGGTAAGTTCCACTAAAAAAAATGTTGAAGCAAAATGCCAAGAACAGCAGATGCATTGAACAAAGTGACCCAAAATTATTTCAAAATTGTAACATATTTTGATAGAATGGCAGAGTAAGTGTAATTAGTTAGTAAGTGATAAAGTAGAACTGTTGATTAAATGACACATTGACCTTTCTTTTACCAAACATCATGACCAGATAAATACCAGTATATATAATAGATCTTTCTCAACCTTGAGATCAGATTTCACAGGTCATTGAAAAATAAAATCAACACCCCTGCATCATAGCTAATCACAACAATAAGCAAAAAAAGCAGAAAAAACATCACAGGTCTATAGCATATTGAAATTATCTAGAACAAGCATTTTTACGCTAGTTGCATGAAACATATTATAGCCAAGAAATTATATTTATGTGTAAGCTTATCTGCGTAATATTTGCATAATATATTTGAACTAATCCATTGACGGCTGTGGGTTTTGTTAATATTCTAGAAAAAATTTGACCAAATCATTAATCATATATAGCAAAATCTCCATCTGGATCAAATGGCATTTGTGATAGTGATGCTACTAGTCATGAAATTTTTTAATTGCCAGAACCACAGAAGTCTTGCAGGAAATCGAATTGGGGCAAATGTTTTAGATTCTTATGAGAATTTTTAAATTTTTTATGTGTATAAGGGACAATGATAGCATCAATTTGCAGCATTCCAATTCTCAATCAGACGTCTGTGGTTCCTGCAATTCTACTAAAACTAAGTGTTTCATGACATCACTAATCACAAATATGCTTAGATTAGTGACGTCATTAAACATTTAGTTTTAGTGGATTTACAGGAAGCACAGATGTCTAGACTGAAAATTGAAATGGTACAAATTGTTGCTATTAGTGTCCCCGATACACATAGAAAATATAGAAAACCTCTTTACAATCTCTTTAACGTAAGATTCAAAGTCACTTACATAGATTAGACTCTAAATTCTCTTCAGAAATATCCAAAGCACTAGCTAGCTCCTCTGTTAGTCCATTCATAGTTAAATTTGTATGGAAATCTGGTTTTGCTGAAGATTTTAGTTTATTTTGTTGTATTAAATCTAAGGAATCAATTTTTAACCAGGGATCATGCTCATTAGACATTTCTCCGTCTGGATTTTTCAACGAAAGCAAGGAATCACCATTCAAGGAATCAAGGTTTGATGCCTCACAGTCAGTCACTTTATCGTTCAGAAGATTTTGTGATTTTTCAATGTTTAGATTATTGTCTGTGGTCACAGTCTCTAAGCTGTCTGAGGAATTTTTTATCGCTTCAAATTCAGCATCTTCCTGTGATGTCGAAGATGGCACTGTTGTTATTTCAGCCACGATGCTGTCAGTAAGTTCCACAGGTTTACCGTTTTCACTGTCAAATATCACTTCATGCTTTGTGGGCAGGTCTAACTCAGACTGCACCAAATTATCTCGTAAAGATTTCACATTTTCACTGACAGGATCTGATTGAACCTGGGCACTGTTTGCATCAATCAGAGCTGACACTGATGAATTGGGCACAGTTTTCACAGTAAATTTATCAATTAACACATTTTCTGAACTACTCGGCTCGTTTTCCACCAGGGAAGTGTCTGAAGGTTCATTTCCACTATTTATGGTTATTTTTGATTGCATATTGTCATCGTTACTTTGTGCGTTTTGTAGACTAGATTGTCCTAGAATTTCACTCTGAATTGCCTCGGAAACTATTTGTTCGATATAATCGTTCATGGTTTCGGAAGCCATGTTCTGACACAGAGTGCCCGGACTAACTACTGGTTTTTGATCAATGTTTTGTGATATCTTGCTGACAGGACTCTCTACAACCGGTGAAACCACTTGGGATGTTTTCCTAACACGACTAACAGTAAATATCTTTTTGGCCGATAACCTTGGAGAATATTGCGGACTCTTTAGCAGCTCAGCTGGAGGCGGAGAAAGTAAGCTCAGGGGAGTTTCTGTGGGTGAAAGAACTTTGGTTAACCCAGTGTCACTTTGAGCAACCATAACACTAGGAGAATCTAATGTTTGCTGGGCAGGTGTGTCGGCAGAGAATAGTAATTTGGGTCTCTGAATTTTGTCTACCGAAGGAATGTATTCCATAGCTTCCTCAACTGCTTTAGCTTCTTTTAGTTCCTGAGCAGCTTGTCGTTGCTCAGCCTCTTGCTGGGCACGTTCCTCTAATTTCCTGCGTTCATCCTCTTCTCTTTCTAAAGCTCGGACTTGGTTTCTTTCTTGATACCAAATAATATCTTGATGTAGTCTCTTCTGTTGATCAGCATAATCTTTTACTCCCTGTAACAAATTTTTATTTTTAAATATTCAACATATTGACTATTGAAATTCTGACAAGAAACTTTAAAAGGGCAGTCTCATTTAGACGGTCAGAAAATTTAGGCGCTCAAACGCCAAAACTATCTAGAAATATTTTTTAGATAATTTACATCACTTGCATACTATCCCTGCTGACCCTGAGCTTGATTTCTGACATTCAAATTGGAATTATGAACTTTTAATTCTGACATTTAAATTTCAATTCTGATGTCATTTCATGAACTTTCGAGTGAAACTCCTTAATTCAATGACAAATATTGAGTTGAACAACTTATTTATGGTCACCGTAGAATTTCCAACTTACCGCTTCTTTTTTGGTATCTTTATCAAGATCAATTCTGGTGACTGTTTCGTTCACAGTTAAAGCTAGAGATAACCCCATTAATCCTGCAGTCTTAATGTCATTCTCTCTTAAATCTAGTCGTAAGAGTTTGGTACTTTCTGCTACATATTCTGCTAATGCCACAGCTCCTGTGATAAAACAATTAATAGAAAATTGGCTTAGACTTAAACATCAGAAATCTTTGCAATATTTAATCTCATTGATAACACAACAATCTGATGGAAATTCAAATATGGATGCTTTGTTTTGTCTTTTACTGCAGGTGACTCCTCCTGCAATCGACGATGTGACAAAATTGTTATGCATTTCATGTTCTTGATCATCTTATATTCAACCAATAAAGATTTTTTTACTGATATTCATTGTTAAATACTAATTATTTGTACTATTCCCTGACTGTTAACACTGTTTTTGATTTGTTTGCATAATGAATGAAAACTCTTTAGTGCAAAATTTTACTGAACATGATTTAAAAACAAATTTTGTCAGATCAAGAAAAAACACAAAAAATCTTTGATAAAAAATCTCCATATTTACTTCTGTTTATCTGCAAATGTAGTGAAATGTGCAATTTTTACACCAAACTGTCAGCAATTTTGTGGCAAAGGCATGCCCTAGTGATAAGCAGAAAATGACAAAAACATTTCAGAACATTATCTTTGGATCTTCACTATATCAAGCAACCATTTTGGGCACTACACCCTTCTGTTTTAAGTAACAACTACTTTGCTAGAATAAACCATTCTAAGAGATACCTACCTTCACATGATAATTTGGTTCCTTGTAATCCTAATCTTAATAAAGATCTATTTTTTAATAATCCTTCTTTTAATTGATGTATACCTTCATTAGTAATATTATTATGGCCCAAATTTAATGTTTCAAGAAATCTAACCGTTGCCTGAAATGAAATTATTTTGTGTAACATTGAGTTAGTGGATACTCTTTAAATAGCCAGGAATCACAAAAATTGAAGTTTTTCTGCACCTGCTTAGGCATGCAGTGTACAAAGAGGGAAATTTTGGGGACATCAACAAGGTGTCCCTTTCAAAGAGTCCATAGAACTATGATTGCAAATTTGATTAATTCATTAGAGAAAATGTGCCAAAGTAAAAAAAAAAGACTTATCATCCATACAACAAAGTTTACGCCATTTAAAAATCGAAGATATATGGAAATTTTCTGGTTCTGCTGTGTAAACTTGGACAGTTTCCCCCAAGATCCATAAAAAAAAATTAACTGCTAGACTCCACTAACCAGACTTCAAATGAGATCATTGATAGCTAGTACATAGTTGACATCAGCTCAACCATGCCAACACTAATCCTCACTTCAAAATTAAAGAATACAGAATGTAATCTACTTACAAGACAATTAGCTATAGGTGTCATGCCTTGATATGTTATTTGGTTATTCCATAAGACTAATGTCAAGAGACCACGTTCTAGGGTCTGTTCACTTAATCCATCACAAACATGTCTTGTTCCTACATCCTATAACAAATAAAAACATTTAACTCTTTGAACCCTGAGTGTAAGTGAATTATAACATCATATACCCTGAACTCCAAGTAATAAAAAGTGAAAGCGTATGACGTTAACGTTGTATGACGTCACTTAGTAATGGCTGGTATACCCGCTGCTCGGGTAAATATTGCTTTAATGTTTGGCCAGTAAACCGGCCCCTAGGGTTGAAAGGGTTAATATCTGTCTCATAACAAAACAATAATCTAAAGGTGCCCTCACACCAATTGCAAATGGTTGCAAAATAATGAAAGTGGATATGAAAACAATTCAGTTGCATGAGAGATGAATTATTCATGGAAAAATCTCTTTCTACCAGCAGAGCAGTCCTCAGTCTAATTTCTTTATCAAGTATCTGAACCAACAGGTGACTTTTAAAATGGGAAGAGATTCAAAGAAAACACTATGCAATCATGCTTCTGCTGCAACCATGTAGTTGACAATACAGTATCTATCTATCAGTAAGCCTCAATTTTCGTATGGCACTATCCCTAACAGTGAGGTTGGGTCAATTGGCATGCCTAGAAAAAGGCTGGCCCGGCTTTGTTTCCCCCATCTCCACCTCCCCTCCACTTCAAATTTCTTATCATTTAACAAAGAGAAATGAAATGAATTGAATGGAGTTTTACGTCCTACTTTTCTGCACCATGTGGGCTAATGAAGACGGGCAACGCCATGCAGGGTGCAATTAGGGAAATTTTGCCAGGACAGCGGCATTAGCCTGCTCTTTTTCAATTACCAACTGTCAAGGGATCTTTAACGTCCACACAGGGCCTCGGTTTATTGTTCCATCCGAACGACTAGACGCTTTTTCCATGTCAGCCCCTCGTACCTGCATCACTGACAGGGGGAAACCGGGTTGAAAAATCCAAAGGTATTATCTCGACTTTAACAAAGAGAAAGAATCTCCCTTGACAATTCTGTTACCCCTACACTGTCCCATCACCTAATGATGCATAGAAGCACCCAATACAAATACTAACCTGTAAATGATTATTACGTAGATCCAATAGTTCTAATTTATGATTATATTTCAACAATATACCTAACTGTATACCATCACTAGGCATGAGTTTATTATCAGCCAAAAATAACTCTAATAAATTCTCGTTCATTTTTAATGCTGCAACTGTAAGGTAATAGAATATAGAATGAGTTTAATGACATACACTGTCGTACAATGAAAAATCTTTTGCCAATGCAGTGACAACCAACTTTTTACTTTTTGAATTTCTCATCCTATTTCAGAGGATCTCTGATGAGTTTAATGTCTCATCCAAAAGCCATAGAGCTATTTCATAATCTTCAAATATGAATTTTTGACATAATCCAGTTTGAATAAAGCCCCGGGCCAAAGCTAGCTTTCCATGTCAATGCATATCAATTACACGTAAGTGAGTAAGGTGGCTAAATATAAAAATAGGCAAAAAAAAATTGAAATTTGAATTGAAACACAGATGCTTTTCAATGATGGCTTATTAAGACATTCAGACATATCTAACAACACATCTGTTCTGTAATGAGTTAGATGTGGTCTGAAATTGAGTTAAGTTAAAGGGAGATAATGTGAACTCTCCACTTTTTAGAGTATAGATTGTCGTGTAATGGAGGGAAAGTCCTACCTTGATGTTCTTGTAAAAAATTTGATGTTTTATGCTGTATAGAGTATGACAAAAGTCTTGATTTTAATAAACATTTGTAAACCAACAACAAGTGTCTATTTAAAACCATTACAACATCAATGGCTGTGATCTAAAAATTTCCTGTGTTATAAGTATTGATTTCCAATGGGGTGTCTGTTTTCTATAAAATTTCTAATTCCAATAATGGCAAACTTACCAAGTATTACAAGAGGTCTACCAGAAAGATAAATATTTTCTAAATGTAAGATAGTTAAATGACTGCCTAGCTTAAGAGCTCTACCCATTATAGGTATAGATCTTTCATTTAGATCACAGTTTCTCATATCTAAGGCTGTGAGACAGGGGGTCTGAAAGCAAAATATTTATTGTTTATTGCTCATATCAATTTCATTGAATGTGAAAATACTGGACATTACTAGAAAGGCAAATAAAAACACCCCTAATTCTACAAGTGGGCTCTTCTACATATTGTGCCGTTTTAATTTTGTAAAAAGAATGCATGTGTGGATGAGTTCAACATAAAGTTGAGGGGTGTCAAATAGACAACTGGCACACTATAACCAGTCTTGTCACTAAAGCGAGTATATCCTCAACCAAATTCCAACATATTTTCACTGCTGAACTTTAACCTGGAATTCTGATATCAGGTAAGTCCACTGATGAATATATACCAAGTTTGGCCAAGTTTAAACATTTAAATTTAATTTTCATTCAAAGAATTCCTATATATAAGCTTATATATTGATACCTACCCTTCTGATAAGACGGGAACAGGCTTGCCATCCTCTAATACCAATATTTTTATTAAATGATATATTGAGTTGACTGGCTGAACAGTAGAATTCTATCATATCAAATAATGCTACAGCACACTGAAATAATATATTGAAAATACACTGTGGCTTAATCACTTCTTATAGTTCTACAACAGAATTCAAATTCTCAATTTAGCTAATGATATACTTTATATTTGAATTTCTGAAGGGCTTTTGTTTAAAACAATTTTAAATATAAATATGCTATTATAACTGTGATTCCACTGAGAGAAAAAGACGGCTTTAAGCTAGCTTTTGTATGTTTCAACTGGGAAAATTGCCTATAAGAATCCAAGTCTGACTCTTGGCAATTGACCTTACTTTAAGGCAGGCATTGTAAATTTTCTAAATTTTTTATGTGGATTGTGGACACTGATGGCATCAATTTGATCCATTTCAATTTTCAATCCGACATCAGTGGTTCCTGCAATTCACTAAAAATTCAATTCACATCAAAGTGTTTGATGACATCCCTAATCAAGAAATATGCTTTAATCACATAAGGAACTTCGCCCATGAGCGTCTGAATGAAAATTGGAATGGTGCAAATTGATGTTATCAGTGTCCTCGATACACCTAACAAATTTTAGAGAACCTCTTTACAATCACTTTTATGTGTAAGTAGATATGGTGTGGTAAGTACTGACCTCATCATCCAAATGACTGGCTTCAAGATCCACTATTTTAAACTGAACTCTACGGAATACTTCTTCTAAACATTCACATTGTTTCTGATCTAACTTCTCTCCTACAATACAACATAAATATTTGGATTTGAAGATGCAAATTTCGACAATGAGCTTTGGACACTATGACTGATTGGCTAAGCAAAAAAATTCCTGTTTCTGAGACTAGGGTAAAATTAGTCAAAAAATGGCTCACTAGCCCTTTAATTCTACAGGGTCCCAGTAAATTATATAAAAAATGGAAAATTTCATTCGGTTGTAAAAAGTGCCTGAGGCCTTCATAACCGACATTTAGAACATTTCTTCCCAAAATTTTGGTAAACAATTTTTTTATGAAATATTTACCAAATACATTTTGTGACAAACATTATTCCATGTTTCAAATTTATTACAAAAAAAAAATCAAGTTTAGTCTTACCTTTTAAAACTAGGTTTTCCTGTCTCTTGCCAGTACATGTAACTTTCTGAAAAACATAATATTAATAACATTACCCTAAAAAACATAATAATAACATTATTTTCTGTACACCGGAACATAAACAAACTATAAACTGCATCATAAAAAATGTTATGTCACAAGAGAAATGTCAATTGTTTACCGACTTCCTTTCGCCTACAAATTATCAGGAGAAACTATCACATATGGTGGAAATAGAGTTAGAAAATGTGTCAAGTCTAATCAGTCCAATATGTGGAAAATAAAATAAAATCAGCCATAAGTCACATGAAATAATCATGGAAAATTCAACATTACCTAATCTAGGCTTCAAAAAAATTTGTCATTTCTTGTGCATGCTGCTAATTAGTTCAAAACATCTGCCTCTATTCTAGCATCTGATGGAAATTTTGACAGTTGTCAACTGGAGTAGAGTCAGAAGAAAAAGGCAGTGTTATGGGGATTTTCCGAACCTCCAAAGATGTGTCTTTTCTAACGTATCATCAATTTACCTTCACAATGATTGTAAATTAGTGTTGGGTTTTGTATCATTACCTTTGAACTTTTGGCTGCGCACCAATGACCGATGCGAGAATAGTTAAAAAAAACGTTGATGGAACTGGATAAGTGACATAAATGGTGTAGGGAGAAAATGATGGTATGACTGAACTAAAACAATATTCATCTTTCCAAATATATTCAGTCCAGCGCCAACTGGGCTTGTGATATACAATTTCTAAAGATCTGGTATTGCTGGATCGAAATGAAATCATGTATGACATCATTGTATGACTAATATATTTTTTTTCATTACAATGGTCAGCTATCTAATTTTCAAGTACAATATTTAAGCAAAAGTTTATTTTTAGTAGGCAGCTGGGAAACCCATTGGAAAATTTAGATTGCCAAACCATTTTTTTGCTCAAATTGTACCCTGATTTAAAGAAATATTAAAACCTAATTTGACAAATAAATTGCTTGGAATTTCACATCAAATTAAAATTAGTAAGCTTACATTTGTTTAATAGCTGAAGAATAAACAAAGTAAATTTTTACCTGAAGCTGTTGAACTAATCTGATTAAAGGCTTTACTCCATGTTTTTCACAACTTTTCTTATAAGCCTGAACTAATTCTTCTGTTGTCCAAAATTCAGCTGAAATAAAAAAAAAAAAAAAACACATAAAAATGTGGCTTTCTGATACAAATAAGTTTACTTTAAATGAGCCTGTAAGTCAGAAAATTTTAGAAAATTGGAATGGTGCAAATTGATGATATCAGTGTCCACAATCACATTAAAAATTTACAATGCCTTTAAGTAAGGTCAATTGCAAAGAGTCAGACTTAGTACAACTGTCTAAAGGTTGTTTTCTTCAAAAAAAAGTTTTCATGTCATTGATCGAGCTGGCTTAAAATGACATGAGTCAACTTCAAAAGAAGTACCAATAAATGAATGTGGTCTTTGTTGGAAGATGACATGTTTTGTCTATGGGCAATGACGTCAGCCAAGGGAAAAAATATTATCATTGATTTCCAATAGGCTAAAGGTGTAGAAATAAAGATTAGCTTAGAACTTTTTTTTTTCAATTAAAACTTTCGCTTTGAGTGATGTAGGCTAGCCTTAGTTAATAGCCAAAAGTAGCATTGAATTTTTGGCCACCTGTCACTAAAAGAGGCATAAACTGATTATGACTCAAGTGTATCCCATTAATACGAAAAATAAAAGGTCTATTTATACTAATAGTATAACGCTTTTGTCTCATTAGACTTAACAGGCATAGACTGCAGGCATGTGCCACAAAATGCATACCATTTTTCCATGGATCTTTTGGTTCATCATAGCTTGCCACATAGCCACTGTCTGGAAACTTTACGTTTTTTCCTTTGCCTTTTTTCCCATTCCCACCAACATCTCCATTGCAATCCTCATCCTGAAGAATTTCAGAATTGTCTTTTTCTGGTGGTTGATTTGACACTCCCCCACACTTGTCTGACAAATTGTTTACATGCACTTCCTGTGAAGCTGATTCGGGATCCTCCACATTTTCTACCGTCTTTAAATCGGAATCAATGGTTTCAACTTGTGGAGATGCTTCAGTCATGGTTATATCTACATGTTTAACACTTTCACAAAGTAAATAAAGGAATCAAATTGAGGTTTTGTCCAATCTTATAAATTAGGCTGTCGTCATCTGCTTTCCACCATATCGACTGATGTGCGCATGCGTTATGAGTTGAAAACACAACACGAAGAAAGTTTCCAGCTGCAAAATATCAAAATTTTTACGTGTCGTTCATTCTTGTGGGTGCACAAGTTATTTAAAACTGTCCAATAACTAAAGTAGAACTTGGAGAACAGTATAGATGATGTCCCAATGATGTCAATGTTTACAAATTTGCATTCTTCAATGAATAAATGTGCCGAGTCAACTCAATGCACTCATCACTGATAAGTAATCACGTGATCCAAGAATTTAGTCAAAATGTCGGCGCCCACAACAACAAAAATTTCCAGTGTTTTCAGAAATCGTTTATTTAAAAACAAAGTGGCTATTGTCACTGGAGGTGCGACTGGCATTGGGAAAGCCATAACACAGGAGTTACTTTATTTAGGTAAAACAGCTGTCTTAGAATTCAAATACATACTTCTATTACAATCCTCCCAAAATCTCGAAACTCACACATTCGTCATTTTTTTTTAATCTGAGATCAAAACTCATAACTTATTGCCTAATAGCCTAGCCTTATAGAACTCTGTTATATTGTCATTTTAAATTTTGTTGACTTTTAGGGCCAATTTAGTTAGGTGCCCAGTTGCCTAAAAACTATGGGGGTGGCATTAGATAATTGTTCACCTTACTTAATCTAACTAGGGCACTCTTCCACCAATGAAATCCTTTTTTCGTGAAATGCTTTTTTGACATGGGATCAAATGAAGTATAAAAATAGACCCCCCCCCCCCTCTCCACTGCCTATTGTATTATCTGTATGCCTATGTTAGACTATCTGTAGCTTTGTGTTGAATTTTATGAGAATTATTTAAGGAGGATGTTGGATCTGAATTTCAAAGTGTTATTTTTAAATTTATTTCAACTCTATCAGTAAGTAAAACAATTGTTTAGAAGACCATGGGCCTAATGTCAATATTGCAAAGCCTAGACAATCAGATAGTTCATAGTGTTTTTGTAGGTTGTAATGTTATGATTGCATCAAGAAATGTTGAGAAACTGAGTAAGGCTGTAAAAGAAATAGAACAATCACCATATAATAAAGGTTGTATTGATTCAGTTCAATGTAATATTAGAAAAGAAGAACAGGTATGCTGGTTCTATCTTTATAGAAATCAACTTGGATTTAAAAGAGCAGGTTCTCTATACATTTGACCAATCATACTTTAGCCTCAGAACAGGATTTCTTTTAGCTAAGCCAATCAATAATAGTGATCATAGCTCACCGTCAAAGTCTGAAACCTTCAAATCAATGTGTATCCAGAATTATCCGTGTTTGAAAGTTATAAAGACAAGTTGTCTTTTCTTGAGACACTGCAATATATAGAAAAGACACCTATAGAAACAGAAAAAAGAAATTCCTAATTTGAGATATTTTTGAAGGAATTAAGTGATTTTCGTAGATTTCTGGTATTTCTGAACATGATATGTATCGAATCATAGCCCATGTATCATGATACATATCGTATTGTGGCATGATATAGTATCAAATTATGATATTTTAATAGGTAAAATCTATGATATCAACTACAATAGATAAATTTGGTAAAGTAGATTACTTAGTAAATAATGGTGGGGGACAGTTTCCTAGTCCAGCAGATAATATCTCATTGAAAGGTTGGAATGCAGTCATAGAAACTAATCTTACTGGTACATTTTTATGTTGTCGCGAAGGTTAGTGGTTAAAATCTCTCTCTACATCAAATAATTAACTTATTTCTTTTCTGTCTTCCAAGTAAAATTTACTGCATTGCACATTGCGTGGTTATTGCCCAACAGAAAAGGGGAATAAATTTGTGTTTCAAGAAAAATAGTTGAAAACAAAAAAAATTTAAATCACTTTTTTATTGAAAAACACTCAAATCTTTACAAACTTAAAAATTTCAATCTTAATCACTCGGTAGTATATTGAAGTACATGTAAAAAATAGTTCAATTCATGCAAAAATGATTGGCACAGTGTGACTATCTCATCATTATGATACATTGAATCAGAAGAAGCTAGAGAGAATTGATTATTTTTCAGCATATAATCAATGGATGAAAGATAATGGAGGAGTTATTATTAATATTATAGCTGATATGTGGAAAGGATTTCCTTTAATGAGGTATTATCATATATAATTCAGTTTGTCTAATCAGGCTCTATTAATTCTTCACCAACAGTTTGTTTTGGGTGTTATTTCTAAGTATGGTCTTTCAGTATGCTCGTATGGTCTTATTTGACCAATCATACTTCAGTATCAGAAACGCAAATTTTTAGCTAAGCCAATCAGTAATTGTGTTCACAGCTCACCATCAACAATTTAGCCTTCAAATTCATGTGTGTCCAGAATTATCTGCTTTTGATGCAATTTTCGTACATTTCTAGTACTTTTGAGGATTATTTACATATATTGAAGACCCAAAAATGGTGAATCTGAATCTCAACTCAGCATCTCCTTTCAACTAATAGTCTTTAGCTAACAAAGTTTATTGCGTAAATGATCAGACGGCTCAGTTGATAAAAAGACCCACAAATCTTTAACCTCTATCATTTCAGTTAGGGCTGGGCGATATTGGTTCAAGTTGATATCACGATATTAAGCATTAATATATCACGATATGGGTATATATCACAATATTTTTTAAGTTTGTTTTTATCTGGTTTTTGAAACAAAATTATGATCCAGAAATTTTAAATATAACATAAAACAATAGATATCACTAAAAACACCCCAGTCTTTAACATCATGAAAAATCATCTGTTTAAAATTTTAAGTTACTTGTGTAGATGATCTTATCTGGACAAAAATTTGATGATATATCATGATAATTACCATATATCAGGATATGGCGATATGATATTTCAGTATTTTTAAACAGGCGATATTAGTAACAATATAAATTCCTATACCGGTATTTATCGTGATACTGGTATTTTATCATGATACCAGTATATCACCCAGCCCTAATTTCAGTCCAGTGAACAGTTGGTGTAACTTTCTTAAATAGAAGATTTTCCCTGATCTGATGTTAGTTGTCATATATGGGAGAGTTAACATTACCTATAATATTAATTGGCTATCCAAAGCCTACTATCAGCTCTTACAGTTCCTCACAGGGTTTCCAAACAATGCCACATAGCTGAAATATACCAAAATTAGTCTTGGTTTAGAATAGCACAAATTTGTGCTCAATCCTAAACTCTGATTTATTCTTATTTTTCAGCCATACTGGAGCAGCCAGATCAGGAGTAGATAACCTTACTAAAAGTTTAGCTATAGAATGGGCTCATAATGGTGTTCGTATTAACTCTGTTGCACCAGTAAGATCTGTTTTATAATATTATTCATCCAATTCGAAAATATCCAGTAACTTAGTGTAATAAAATTCCCTTAAAGATGAGTTCCCTTATTTTCATTTATATAAATGCTAATACTTATAGTACCTATAAAGCAGAAGTGTTCTAATGCACTAAGAACATGATAATTCATTAGAAACATCAATTAATCAAATAGTTAGCTTAAAATTTGACACTAAAAAATCAATAAACCCATCTTTAATATTGCACGTTTTACTGAAAGTATACATGAACATATCTTGAAAGTTGAAGCTTCAAAACTCATAAGGTTGTGCAGGAGAGCTTGGTTAGCTCAGCCAGTTGTTGCCTTTTGAGCATAACAATTATCATTCCATATTGTAATGTATAATCATTTTGATACCTTATTCCAGGGAAGTTCTATTTATTCTGATTCTGCAGCAGCTAATTATGGTGATGCCAAGATATTTGAAAAATGTCTTCACACAGTTCCTGCTAATCGCTTAGGTACAACAGAAGAGGTCTGTATTTTCAATTATATTAGTATTATCTATTTTGGTGTTGTCAGCATCACTTAGAACTTTCTGTAGATATCTACTATCAAACTTATTAAACTTATTTGAAGGTATTTACTGCTTGTCAAATCAAACTGCTATTTATTTTGTAGATCTGTTGCCTGTCAAATCAAACTGTAACATTATTTATTTGTAGGTATCTGATGCTTGTCAAATTAAACTATCATTTATTTGTAGGTATCCGCTGCTTGTCAAATCAAACTGCTATGTATATTGTAGGCATCTGATGCCTGTCAAATCAAACTGTACCATTATTTACTTGTGGGTATCTGATGCTTGTCAAATTAAACTATTTATTTCGTAGGCATCTATTGCGTGTCAAATCAAACCATGTTATTTTTTGTATCTGTTGATTGTCAAATCAAACCATGTTATTTATTCTAGGCATCTAATGCCTGTCAAATCAAACTGTACCATTATTTATTTGTAGGTATCTGATGCTTATCAAATTAAACTATTTATTTTGTAGGCATCTGTTGCTTGTCAAATCAAATTGTTGTTTGTTGTAGGTATTTTTTGCTTGACATATCAAACCATGTTATTTATTTTAGGTATATAATGCTTGTCAAATCAAACTGTTGTTTGTTGTAGGTATCTTCTGCGTGTCAAATCAATTCATCTTATTTATTTTTATGTTTCTATTGCTTGTCAAATCAAACTATGTTATATATTTATAGGTATCTGCTGCAGTATGTTTCTTACTCTCTCCTGCTGCAACCTTTATATCAGGTGAAACTGTCAAAGTAGATGCTGGTGCTAGTTTATATCAGTCTATGTGGAACATACCAGGTTTGTTCTTGAGTTTTCTTTTCACCAAGGTTACAGATTGTATACCCACTTTGCCAATATTCATAATTATATGAGAATATCTTTTTAATGTGAAGTTACTTTACTACATTGTCACTTTATACCTGAACTGAATAATTTGACAACTTTTAAGCTGTTGAGTCTCTTCTATTCACACTATTATTTGTGTAGATAGGTGTAGCTTGTCCCTCCTTCTTGAAACCTTGGATTTTTTTCACCTGGATACTGGTTTTTTATCCTGTGGGTAAATTTACTTCAATCAAACTATCCTCTTGGCAGTGATATCTCACTGTGAGGGGTTTGAGCTCCTTGTAGTTGTCAGATTCTCTATTTTTTATTTTCAGAACACAATAAATCTAAACCTTATAAATGGTCAACAGATGAAGAAGCTGAAGACAATACTAAAGACTCTCCAAAATCCAAATTATAATGGTTCAAAGGATTAAGGAGTTTGTGTCATTATGAACTATATATAGGGATATATATTTTAATGCATTTAAAAAATCTACATTTAAATCTAAACCTCTATTTCACTTAAAAGCTGATTTTGAGATATGAAAAGTCAAGGGCAGTAACTCACTAACTGTTTGATCAGGTTGAAGATCTAGGACAATTCTAAACAAGAAGATTGAAGTCAGTTGCTGTGGAAAGAGTAGAGCTCAATTTCAGCAACCCAGTATCTGTATTTACATTCTTGCAAGACGAGTTAAAGCAGAACAGGAGCTGTAAGAATGCTACTAACACACTGGTGGACTGCTGTTAAGTCCACTTATGTGCTTATCCAATTGCAGAAATTTGATTGGTTAATGCGGGGTCATCAGATTAGGTCAAAAGGTTAATTTGACAAACTTTAAAAGGCCCATCTTAAGACTCTAACTGAAGTAGATATATTAAAAATAAAAGCTAATAAAAAATCAAATCCAAAGTGTAATAAATTGCAGAGGCAACCACATCATTCTAAAACAGAAGCTGTATACATTTCACATTCACACAAAATGCCCCCACATTTTCTCAAACCAAGCTTAATGAATTCTGAAAAATCCTGTCTAGACAGAATGTATACAAGACTGATTTCTGAAAAAGCTTTTAATATTCAAGCATATCATAGAAATTTAATTAGGTATACATATGTATAATCAAAAAATCCAATCAAAAATAAATGATACTGAGTTTAATATCTTTAAACATTTTTACCTTGCTTTGCTTTTAGTATTTTATTGATTTATTATATACAAAACTTGAAATACAAATAAATACACAGTACCAAAAGCAAAACAAATTGATCATAAATCCATTTCAATTTTTGAAAGATGCAGCAAAATGAATTAAATTCATTTGTCAATGATAATATTTAATTATAATACGGTTATAAAGGGAATCAAAAGAATTATTAAAACTTTGTTCAGTATAGGAGACATTTAAAGATGGGTTTCCTTATTTTTTAGTGTCAAATTAAGCAAATTTCTAATGAATTATCATGTATTCTGTATTCATATCATTATGTTCTTATTGCATTATGAGTTTTAACCATGTATGTACAGTCTGGATAAACAAGAAAAGACTCTTTGACCTTTCTCATTAGAATTCTGCTGTTAATTCTCCTCTAATTTAGCTAATTATGGATTAATTATAGACATGTGAGACAAACCGGTATTTAAAAGACATGAAAACGCCTCTACTTTCTATTCATATAAGTATTAGCATTTTCATTTTCATGAATGAAAATAAGGGAACCCATCTTTAAACGTTTATTTTCAAAATCTCTTGACATTTATTGTTCAAGTCAGTCTGAAAAAAAAAATGCTCAAATGATTTTTTTTACCATTGCAAAAAATATTCAAAGAAAATTAGTTTCTTTACTTTTTCTGGAATAACATGAACACAATCGTCAGCCTGAAATTGATAAGCTTCAAAAACCTCGGTCCCATTCGAACGACCAGATCAGCCTCTCTCACCTAAATCACTGACAGGGGGATATCGGGTTGGAAAATCCGAAGGTATTATCTCTAACTATGTGGGCATTGAACCTTGGACCTTCAGGTTAGCGTCACTGAGCCACCGCTTCTTCCTTGAAGAGTGTAATCTCCTTCCTTTCCTATAAATGCAAAAAATCACATTGCACGATAAAATTCAAGACTAGCAATAACAAAAACAGAATAACGTTGATTATGGTCAGCTCAATTTATACTCTCAATTGTACTTTTCAGAATTAAATGAGACGTCCGGGTTCCACTGTATTTGAACAAAAACAAAAAGACTAGAAATGTACAAAAATCGCATAAATCCTTTCCAATATCTCAAACTATGAATTAGTCATTCTGTTTCTATAGATTTGTCTTTTCTTGAGCCATAATAGAAAAGAAAAATCTGCTTTTTAACTCTCTAACCTGGACAGGGTTCATACAGCACTTTGCCTCAAAAATTCAAAGACTTTTCAAGGACTCTGGGCTTTGAAATTCAAGGACTTTTCAAGGATATTAGTAGTCTGACAGAATACACATGTACCTAACTTCTGAACGGTGAAATCAATAAAAATGATTAATATTTGTCAATGGGGTTAATGATAAAAATATACACAATTTGAGTGAACTCAAATTTCAAGGACTTTTCAAGAGAAAATGGGTTTTTTATGGTGTTTTTGAAGACTTTTTTTGAAATCAAGGTTTTTCAAGGCAACGGACGGAATTCCAGGGTTTTTCAAGGCTGTGCGAACCCTACTGGATAATTCTAAGACACACCGATTTGAAGGATTAAATTTCAAATGGATGGCAAACCTGTCCCTTTAAAATCTTTATTATAGCATTGTACAGGAACCAGAAGTCACATGTTAATTCTGAAGAGTGATATAGATAGCAATGTTTAACAATGTTTCTTTTAAATAGTCTTCACTATTAAATTAACAAGCAAGAAAGTCTATTTGAAAGACATTGATAGGTATAGTTTAAGTGTTGATTTGCTATTTACATATCACGTTTTAAAGGCTATATACAGAATATATATACAAAATATACAAGATACATACACAGTGTATATTTCAATACACAATATATTTCCTTAAATACACTCAAATTAACAATAGTATACAGTATGTTTCAATCAATACATGTAGTCATTGTGTTCTATTGATACATGTAAACAGTATGTTGCAATAAATACATGATGACAATATTTTTAATAATACATGTTGACAGTATGTTTTAATAAATACATATAGACGGTATGTTTTAGTAAATACATGTTGATAGTAGGTATTAATTAATACATGTTGATAGTATGTTTTAATTAATACATGTTGATAGTATGTTTTAATTAATACATGTTGATAGTATGTTTTAATAAATACATGTTGATAGTATGTATTAATAAATACATATAGACAGTATGTTTTAGTAAATACATGTTGACAGTATGGTTTAATAAATACACATTGACAGTATGTTTTAAGAAATACATGTTGACAGAAAGTTTCAATAAATAAGCGTTGACAGTGTGGTTTAATAAATACATGTTGACAGTATGTTTTAATTGACACATATTGACAGTATGTTTTAATAATATACATATTAGACAGTATGTTTTAATAATATACATATTAGACAGTATGTTTTAATAATATACATGTTGACAGTATGTTTAATAAATATGCATTGACAGTATGTTTTAATAAATATATTTTGACAGTGTGTTTTAATTGACACAAATAGACAGTATGTTTTAATAATAATGGCAACAGAATATTTAAATAATACATGCTGACAGTATGTTTTAATAATACACATAGACAGTAAGTTTTCATAATAAACGACAACAGTATATATATTAATAATGCATGTAAACAGTATGTTTTTGTAAATATACTTAGGGAACATACCTTAAAAATTACATAAAGCATTACAATTTAATAATAGTATTTGATTAATTTAAAGATTTCCTTGAAAAAATTCATGTAAAATCAATACAATGTCTAAACTCTAATATACTTTAAGACAATATTACACGTTGTCAGTATGAATATATAAGTATTATTTAAAGCAATATTTTGCAACCTGTGAAAATTGGTTTTGATTTTCTACACGTTTGACTACATTTCTTACAATAGCATCTTCAATTAACAATTTCCAATCAGCATTTCTCTGAAAAAAGAGAAATATTGTGGATAAAGAATTTTTTCTCTAATTTGATTCTCTATCTTGTTTGAATGGATCGTCTAGCAAAATTAATTATAATGCAGTCAATAAACCTCTAGTAGGCTATAACATTTGTTTGGTAATCCTTAATTTATGTTACTTTAGGTTGATAAATGCGTAAATGTAAAAACATAATATCCCTTATTAATAAATTTCTACAAATGTAAATTTTAGTCATGTGGATTAAGGTAGCTATATCAAATATGGATCAAAAAATTAAAGAGACATAATTATTGGAATCCAATACACCACCCTTCATATACAACATAATTACCTGTAGAGAAGTCACATGGCCTAATATATACAGAGCATTTTTAGCTCTAGTTAAAGCTACATTCATTCTTCTTCTGTCAGCTAAAAACCTGAAATATCAAAAAGTTCAGAATTTTTTTCTTACTATAACATGTAAACACAAAAGTAATTTAAAGATTGGTTTCCTTATTTTTTTAGTGTCAAATTAAGCAATATATTTGATTAATTGGTGTTTCTAATGAATTATCATGTATTCTTAATCATATCATTATGTTCTTATTGCATATAGTTTTAACCAATCATGTAAGTACAGTCTGGATAAACAAAAAAAGACTTTTTGACCTTTCTCGATTGGAATTCTGCTGATAATTCTCCTCTAATGTAGTTAATTATGAATTAATTATGGACATGTGAGACATACTGGTATTTTTCCAAGTCATTAGAACACCTCTACTTTCTATTCATATAAGTATTACCATTTTCATTTTCATAAATAAAATAAAGGGACCACATCTTTAAGTAAAACAACAGACTTGTATTATTTGACTATATTGCTGCCTGTATGCCTATGAAGAAAAATGACTCACCCAATACTACCAGTAAGACTTTGAGCTCTAACACATGTTAATATAATAACTAATTTCTCACGCCCCTGAAATCCATCTACAGTACCAACTTCAACCTTGTCTAATTTTCTATTAAATAATCAGTAAGTCATTTTATAATGCCAATAAAATACGTCAAATATGAGAAAAAAATAAAAGGCTCGGTGTTCTAAATGAATTAAAATGAATTGACTTTTTTGCAAGGGCAGTCTACCATTTTTCAATTTCAAACCCTCGCGGGATCTTTAACATGCACAACCTGTAGCACAAGTAGCCACAGTTTATTGTCCCATCTGTATGTTAAGACACTTTTTCCATGTCAGTCCTCAGAATCATACCTGTATCAGGGTGGGGCAGAATTATTTGCATTTGAAAGTTAAAAAAATGACTCGACTCAGCCACATATAGAAAAGACATATAGAAATAGAAAATGAAATTCATAGTTTGAGGTATTTTAGAAGAAGGATTATTGCAATACTGGTCAATTCCATGTACTTCTGAAGACTATTTACATACAACAAAGACCTAAATCTACTCTTGAAGATGGTGAACCTGTCCCTTTAAATTAAACCAATGTGGTCTGACAATAAAATTCACAGGAGTAAAAAAGATCCACCATTGTGAGTCAACCCTGTATAGTTTCTCAACCTACTTAGTACTTACTTAACTCTAAGTTCTTCAACGACTAATGCTTTCTGGGATTGATAAGGACAGATAACTCCAATACTACTTGGCTGAATTTTACCAGATAACAACAGACACAGTTCAACTGTGCATTGAGCTTCTACACTATTACATATTGCACTGAAAGATATCAGAGCAAAGAATTCTTATGGTGAATTTTTTTTTAGAAAATCAAATAAACGAAGTTCATCCAACAAGGATTACTCCCTCTAGTGAATTCTTTTTATTATGAATTAGTGTTCTAAAGGTGAATTCCAACACAATTCTTTTTTTTCTGAAGATGTCGAAGAGTTTAACCACAATGAGCAAAAGTGCAAAGAAATAAAATATTTTTATGGCTTTTAAAGGGTTTTTTAGTAAAACATTTTCATTATCAAAAATGTTAATAATACTTGAAAATATTTCTAAAATATGCTATTTGTATCTATATAATCTCTTGATCAAACTGAATTTTTTTTAAAAAGGGTTAATTAAAAATTTAGCAGTATGACCTAGTTTCGATGATTGACTTTATAATGGCTTGATATTATTATTAGTTGAAATCTTAAGAATATGTAGGAGACATATTTCTCTACAATTAGTAGTTTTTTTACAGTAGTTTTCTAACAGCTTTCAAAAAGCATAACAAACTTAAAAAGTTTACGAAAACTTATGTAAACTTTTAAAATAGTTTCGGTGTTAAAAACTGTTGGATTTTTTTTAATTAAAACTTTTAGTTACGTTAAGGGACACGTTTCTCTAGATATGGTGTATAGTTTTTTCACTAATTTTCGACTTACAAAAAAAGCGGAATGTCCCTTTAATATAAGAAATGCTACAATGAAAAAAATCATTTTTACCTTCCATTGACCGTTTCTTTACCACATTCCATATCAAACACAAGATATGGTTTTAATGGAAACTTTTTACATACTTGATCAACACTCCTGCAAAACACAAAAATAAACTTTGTTTTTCAAAGCTGACATTTTATCTATGTTTATTGAGCTTATTAGAATCTATTTAAAATGCAGATATAAAAGTTTCAGTATTTATAGATAAGTAGAGCTGGGTAAAATGATCGAAATAATTCCTAGGAATTTATAATTTTGATTATTGAA